TTTCATAGTTAGGCTCAAGATTGACTCATGGTGCATTTTTGCAGTCATGCGTTCCTGCACACAACGCGACTCGGTTTGTGCTGATACGACATCCTAGCGAAAGTTGCTGCGCAAGCTGATAAACGATGGGACATAGTGAGGCGAGTGATACAGTACTAGCCAGGCAGGGCCCATGCACAACCTCACAAGCCATTCTGTGGAGGTTGACATGGACACTCCTCGCTGCCAGTACAACTGTACAGGCAGAAGCGGGCAGGCTGGAAGATGAATTCAGCGGACGCAGTGGTTGCAATGGGTGGTCTACACGTTCTTCTTGAACCATGGTTTTGGGTCGTCTACTCTGCAGGTGTTTTGGTTTTAGAAAGATCTTGGGTGGTCTAGCTGTTTGTTTGTTCTTCTTGAGCTCGGTGTTCCGGTGATGCACGGAGCTTCATTCCGTTAGCCCGCTCATTTGAGGTCTGGGCACAGTCAGTGAGTCATGTGGGTCAAGAATAGGTTTAGGGAAAATGGGTTGCCCTGGGAAGCAAGGACTAACACCTCCAGATCCTGGTGCTTTGATCTTGACCCCAAAAACTCATGTTTCCCTGTGACCAGAGTGTGGCAGGTGACCGAGCCCACTTTGGCTTTGTCACAGGTTGTTGAAGCCCTGAAGTGGCGGGAAGCCCTTTGTCATGGCAAGTTGTTGGCCCCGCACAACTCTGCACAAGAACCCCTTGTGATTGAACCGCGAAGAGAATCAGCAAGGACACATATGAGTCTGGCCATTGGTTTTATGGTTGGGGGGGCAGTCTGTGACGACGCGGGACTTTGGGGCTTTTGAAATCTTTGCAGGCACATAGTCAACTCTTCAAGCTCCAGAAGTGAGTTGTTTGACTTCCGCTCGACAAGCCAGTCGCAATTCGCAGTGTAGATGTGGCGGAGAGGACTCAGAAGACGAGGACTCGGACGAGGAAAGTACGTGCGACGACTTGGCATTTGTTCGTCAAGTGACCTTGCCGCGGGCCTAAGATGAGGATTTGCATCTAAGGGACTTTTGTAGACTTTGCCGCCATTTCATTTCGCGTTTGTTTGTGTTTTTCTCGGGGGTTGTCAGCAGATTTGGGTTGTTTCATTGCAGCTCGGATTCGAAGGGAAACCGATCCACCATTTTAAGGGGGGTCCCCTAAAATTAGAGACACCCATGTGGGCAGCGTCTGAGGCCAGTGCATCGAACCTTCATCCAGTTCAATGTGTGCCAGCACTCCCACCGACGGTCCAAGTCCATTTGAAGGTGGGATTATCTTCGAGAGGGAGAAACTTGCGTGTGAATTGTTGGAACATCGAACATCGAAGCATCAGTTGGCTTCTCAATTTGCGACTTCCAAGAGTGCCATGATGTGGAGCAAGAGGGGCCATTGCTTTTGATTCACGTTGCCATGTTCATCGTGTTCGCCTCCCAGTCTGCCATGGTCAAACACCGCCTACTTGGGGTAGGAATATTTTGTAGGGACAGTCACCAAACGCTTGTAAATTTAGTCAAAGGTATGGTTTCATTTTGCTTGCTGGAGCTCAGGGAATCAGCTTCCGGGGGTCGGGAATGAGCAAGAGGGGATTCTCTTAACGGAATCAAAGGGGATGGCTGTTCGGAGTCGATCGCAAGTTTGAACGACGTTTTGACCACAGCGCTCGGCTTGCAAACGAGAGGCGGCTTCCTTCGAGTGAGTGTGCGAGGCTCCCGTAGCTGTTTTTCAAGCCAATCCCGTGAATTTGAAGTGCCGGCATGTCTGGAGCCGTGTTCCTTGAAGTTCCCGGCCTTTGGGAAGTCGATGATCAACAAGTGCAAGAAAATGGTTGATGAAGCAGGTGTGTGTCAGTGCGGCTGAGTTTTGATGATTTAATTTCGGCCAGTGGCTTGAGAATGAAGTTTAACTTCGCATGATTAGTTGCGATAGACTGCGTGGTCCTGCCTGCCATCTTGGAGAGCCCACAGCAGTTTCGGAGTTTAAGCCTGAGGAGGAGCACACACAATGTAGGGGCTCAAGGGAAAGTGAGAAGGCAGGTCGCGGCTCGCATAGCAGCATGTTTAAGGGGCAGACGGAAGGTATGTGGTGTTGACTCCACTGGAAAGCGCCAGCCAGACAAGCACTCGAAAGTCACACATGACATGGGTGTGGGTCAATATTAAACCACCAGGATATGGACATATTTTAGTCCCAGGGTTTCCATTTCCCAGGGTTCCATTTTGGGGTTAGCCTATTTTTGACCCGCCAAATGTATTGGGCGAGGCAACGTTGCTTTCGCAAAGTTGAAAACACTCGCTGTCGAGCCTGAGCTTTCCAGACATCCATGAACCTCAGTCTTGCCGGCGAATCTGCCAGCGTGCGGGAGTGATGACATGATGCCGCTCCCAGAACTCCTTGTGTAGCCAGAGGCCCCGTAAAGGCAATAAGAAGCTGAAGTGTGCATCCCAAAGATCTGCTGACGAGGCCTTGGCTCATGCAGTTGCAAAATACTGCAACCGCCCCACCGCCAACCTTTCCCTTTGCATGTGCCGGTTCGCAGCTGCTTTTCTTGAAATGTATGTAATGTCGCATAGCTTTTGGCATGGGCCGCCTTCATAAATCCTTGAAGGGAGTTTATCTTTTGCCTGCATCAATGGGTGGGGAGCTGTTCAGATGAAGGCATTGACAGGCATTGAGACAGTTGTCTTGTCGGCTGCTTTCTGCACCCCGGCTCATGTGGGCACCATCCTAAGAGATGCTGGCCCTAATATCAAAGCTTTCTTCCTGAACATTTTTGCTTGGTCAGTGTGGCGAGACCGCTGGCTCATTTCTTGCTTGCAATTGTTGGGCTTTCAGTCAAGGTCACTTCTGCAAGTCTTACAATTGCTACCTTAAGGAACACCGTTGCATGCCATTCTGACGCGTCCAACTCCTAACAAACCACCCACGACTTTTCAGTGACTGAGAGCTCAACGGTTTTTGCGCCATGAGTAGAACTTTGGTGGACCTTTTGGCGAATGGGAGTCGATTGAGACGATCGATCGCCTAGCCGGGCGATGGAACCCGCGTTTTGGCATTGCCGTCCAAGCTCAAAGCGCCTTGGAACTCAAAGCCACATGGGCATGGGTCAAAATTAAACCAGGATATGGACCGCATTTTTTTTGGTCCATGGCAATCCATTTACCAGGGCAAGCCATTTTGGGGTACATTTTTTTGACCCAGCCACATGTCGTTGACCTCCAAAGTCCAACAAGTCGGCGATTCGCGACCAAACCGAGCGGTGCGCGAACGACCATGGTACAACGCCTGACTACCAACATGAATCAACACTTACTCGACACAAAATGGCAACTGGAAACCCACGGTATTCCTCTTGGATATGAGCCCGAGATCTCTTCTCAAACGGCCGAAACCAGGGGATCAAACAACAGACGCCCGAAGACATCTCCTCAGGCGACGAATTTCGACGAAACGAGACGCGCGAAAAGCGCGCCGAAAAGCGCGGAAGGGCTGGGCGTGTCCGTTTTTGCAGTCCCCGCGAAATGGCAAGCAGCTTTCCTTTCTGAGTTCCCGTTAAAGCCCAGCAAAAAGTGGTACCAACTCAAAGCGTGAAGCATACCCTGACCAGAGATGTTGCCAGGGGTTTGGCATGGGTTGGAAATGGCTTTGCGGAAGTTGCTGAGTCCGGACTTGCAACTTGTTTCCTCAACGAATTTCAATGTCATTTGTTGTTGCTTTCTTCTGAGAGAAGGAGAACTGGCAAGGCAAGTGGTCCATGAGTTGTGAAGGGAACTAGCAACTGCGACATTTGGTATCTAGTTTTGCTTCGCAGTTCCCTCACTGCTTGGACATTGGGCGCTACCTGAAGCGATTCGGCACGTAGTTTCATCTTATCTCAAACTCACAGCCGCAGCCTTCCCAGCCAAGGTGAGGCCAATCATGTGTCGAGTTTTGATTTTTCTGTGGCGTTTTTTTTCTTCTTTTTTTCTTTCTCGGAGAAGATTGAGTCGCGTAGGTCTGCAGATGGACGCCGCCGCCTCTGTGCCATGCTGTGCCTTTTGCTCTGCGCCCGCAAGTGGCACCGAGGTCATCCGCAGGTCTGTCAACTCGGTGCTGTCCACAGGGCGGAAGGCCAAGTCTTTAGTTGATTCTCGGCCAGCGAGTCCTTAAGTTTCATGAATGAAAGTCGCTTGTTGCAAGGGTAGAGGTGTGGTGCGAAAGCGTACTCTCTTGCAGGCAGACGCAAGCTCTGGCCTGAGTTCCTTTGCCGTAAAATCCGCGCGGATTTTGAGCCAAGGTTCTTTGGGCACCTGCAACAAGGCGACGAGACAGTCGGTGTGGCCGTCCGGATCCGTGCTTTTGTCCGGCCCGAGTTTTAGCCAGGCCTGGGACGAATTTCTGGTGAAGCGCGACCAGAAGGCGTGGCCATGTCTTGCAAAAGCAGGAGCTGTTTGTTTGCTTTTGCTGGGTGGCTGGTTTCTTGGTAACAATGGTTGGTTGATTGGTTGGTTGGTTGGTTGGTTGGTTGGTTGGTTGGTTGGTGGGCGGATGGTTGGTTGGTTGGTGGATGGTTTGCTGATTGGTTAATGAGAAGTTTATTCGTTACTTGCAGGGTGGGTAGGTGGTGAGTTGCTTCTGCTAGCCCTGCTTGGGAGCCGCTATCACAGCCACCCGCCGAAACAGACTTGCGCCAACTTCCCCCCATTGCCAAGGTTGCGATGAGAAGCGCAACATATACTGCCAACTTGGAGTACCTGTCAGATCATGTTTTTTTTTGTTTTTTTTTTTAATGGCCCCAAGTTTTGTTGCACTTGTATTGTTCGGGCGTCACATTTGCTACTGCCGTCACCCACCAAGTCCATGGCTGCTATACGTCCATGGTTACTTTGATTGAAGCCAACGCTACCAGCACTGCTTGCTGCTTTTGCAACTTCCAGTGCCACGGCTGTTTCTCGAGTTCTCACTGCTACCATGCCTGGGGGCTCTTTCACAGTCAGCCCAGCAGCAAAGAAGCAACTTTCAATCTGCAACCAGAACTTGGAACAGTCGCCGGTTGGGCTCCACGCGTTGGCCAAGCGAGCCTGCGCGGCAGACTCGCATGGGAGGGGGGTTGCGGCGCAGGGAATTTCTTTGGAAGACTTCGAGCTGGGTCGGAGCATTGGCAAGGCTGGATTGCATTGGATGGGGCTGCTCAGCGGAGCCATACTTCGGTCGAAGAGAAACTTGGCTAGAACCCGCAAATTACTCCCCGGGGTCTTGTCTTGCAGTTTGCTCTATCTTTCAGAGGCAGTGACACGCTGCACCGCATTGGATCTCAACTGCGGCTGCGCTTGCCTTTTCGCAGTTGAATACACGCTTCAATGGCAAAGATGAAACCAGACCGAAAAGCAGAACAGTTGAAGACCAGACAGAAACACAAGAATGGAAGAAACCCCCTGCCCCCAACCCTGGTTTCCTCCAAACCAACCCCTACAGCTTCAACGATGCAAAGTCCAGACCCATTTGCGTGTGCCCTTTTTCTTTATGAGGGTACCCCTTGGGGGTTGGTTTTAGTGTTTTTAAGGAGAACCACACAATTGGTTAAAAATACATGAAGGAACACCACAATTTGCTTCAAACAAACAATGTTTTGGGGCGGGTCCCCTAAAAAAGACACCGCCAGTTGGCCTTTTGGCGCGCTCTAATATTCCTTCGGCTCGCCTCGGCCTCTTTCTCCGCCGCCTCCTCCGGGGAGCCAACCTCCGACAGCACCTCCCGCAAGGTTGCGCTTCAAGCCCTATTAAACAACGGGACCCGCCCCCAAAACGGACACCCACAATTCTCCCCCCCCCCCCCCCCTTTTTTTTGCCAACCTGGAGTGGTAAAGTAGAGGCCTCAGTCAACTCATTAAGTCACCCCATTCAGAAACACCAAAGGAACACGGTGCCACAACATTCCGGTTTGGCATGTGTGTTTCGTTGTTGGTCGTTCTATGCCTTTCCTGGTCAGCCAAAGCAGCACCACAGGTCTCGAAAGCGGCATAGCTATTCCTTCAAATGGGGTCTTTTCACAGCTGTCCAAGGCTCAGGAAGCCTTCCTAGAATCAGGGAAAAGTTGGGAACAAGTTGGACAACAATTAGGAACATGTTTTTTGTTGTGGCCTAAAGATTCTTTACGTAACCTGGAAGGTTTGCAGAGGTATGTTCCCTTCAAACATTATGCTGAGAAACACTCACCTTCAAGAAGGCCTTGCCACACGATTATGCTAAGGTTCCAGAGAAGTTATGCCAGGCAACATGGGTTCAAACAATCAGGCCCTGGTTCCCTCAGCAGAGAAGCCAAACAAGATTACTTGAACAAGTGGATGAAATCACGCTTGAGCTGGGTCCTTTAGTGACACACTAGAACAAGGGAAACCGCCCATCGGGGTTGGGCAAAATGCCTTTGAACAACCAAGCACCGGTCCCACAGAAAGGGCAAACGAAACAAGTTCGGTTGAAATGGCTTACCCACATGTGGAACCACCCGCAAACTTGTAGAAATCTATTCACACTAGGGTTGGGGTACCTCCTCACTCCAACAATCTCCTTGTGGTTTCAATGTTTTCAACGACCGGAAGCGCGCATTTCCAAGGGGAACACTTTGAAAGGCTGGACATAAATCCCCCAACTGCTGATGTCCGCAAGAGGGTCCTTAACCCAACCACATAAATCCCCCAACTTCTCAAGCCCACCAGACCAGAGACCCCCTAGATGGAATCCATACCCAACTCAGCCGCAACCCCCCGGACATCCCCAGACCCCCCGCCTCCCCCCCGTCGTTGCCGCCGGTGGCCATTTTCGCCTCCTTGCCCTGCACCACGCGCACACCCACGGGGCCCACCTCCAGGACTGCTTGGGGTATTGTTTGCGCTCAGAGCAGCCTTGGAGTTGGTCCTCCTCGGAGGTGGTTCTTGCTTCTTCGTTGCTTCTTTCTGGTGAAGGGGGCCAAAGGACATGGGCCAAGTTGTAGTTATTGTTCTAGGGGTTGCTTCCAACCATTCGTTTCAACGCTAGGGGGATTCCATCATTGGAAGCACCAGCAAGTTAAGGGGGGATTGTTCTAGGGGTTGATTCCTTTTCCATTCTTTTCAACCCTCGTTCTTTTCAAAAACCGGATCTGTTTCCAACCTGGGATTTGGATGGTTTCCTGAAAAGAAGGATCCCTGGGTTCAGAATGGAAATGGAAGGTACCCCTAGAAAAGTCCGAAAAGAACACGTACCCGAAACTCTGAGAACATCTCCCTTGGAGCCCGCTGGCCGCCTTGGAGCTGGTTCTGCTCGGAGGTGGTTCTTGCTTCTTCGTTGCTTCTTTCTTGTGAAGGCCAAAGGACATGGACCAAGTTGTAGTTCTTGTTGCCGTTTTTGGGGTTTTGGAACCGTGCAATGGTTCCACAAAGAACCTATTTAGCAGGCCCAAAACTGAAAAAAATCCCTGAAGAAGGTGGATGCCACATAGACCTTCTTATGCCCGCCATGCCAAAGTGGAGGAGTGCGTTCCCGGCGCCCCTTGAAAGCTTCAAGAAACAAGGCCTCAAAAACACACCCCAAATGTGAGCTTTCGTTGGGTGTTGATCCCCGAAACAACTCCAAACAGAGAAACCCTCGAAGAAGGACACAAGCCCAAGTCAATGTGGAACCACTGTGGCTGGGTCGAAAAGACTCTCTGGCAGATTCCGCGGTCACACGCGAAAGCCACAAAAACGCTGTTTTCGTGTTGGTTTCCCCTCAGCACCAAAAAAAGAAAACACTGAAAATCACCGAGCAACCAAAAACAGCGGTCCTGAAAAAATGCATCAAATGGCACGGCAACTGCACAAAAAGACCGGGCCTAGACGGGCCGAATAAAGATTGCATCCAAACAGGCGAAGCCGAGCCTGTGGGATGTTGATGGGCGATCCCCGCAGCTTGCCCTTGCCATTGCGCTTGACGAAGTCGATCTCCGCCTCGATTTGGACATGGGCGCGGAGAACTCGCATTCGACGAGTACAAGCATATGTTGGTACATTCCAACCTTTCTGTGATGCGAAAGTGGGCCATCCCAATGAGTACTTCAATGAACAAGAAAGGAAGCTCATCGAACCTTCCCACCCCGCCCCCCCCCCCCCCTTCCCCCCGTTTGGACCCTAGAACAATTCCAAAGAAACAATTCAGGTCAAGCGTTTGTCCCCTAGGAACCTGCCCCTGGGACACCCCAAGGATTGGGGTAGAACCCATAGCGGCAATAGCGGTCATTGGTGAAAAATTCCAGGGCTTCCCTGCAGCCAAATATGGAACCTGCGAGAAGGTCCCTTCCGGCGCATGATCTGCCAGGAAAACTTCTTCAGGTTCCAAAAGCGAGGCTGAAGCAAACCAAGTCACTTTTTTTGGGCCCACTTGCGAACAAGAGTGGCCCTCCCTTGGCACACTTGTTTGCCTCCCTTTGCCTTGTGAAAGAAAGCGGGGTTCAAAATTCGAAAAATGATCCGCAAGCCCGCGCCTTGTAGAGCCGGTCCAGCTTGTCATTCACCATGTCCTAAGGAGCCGAATACAGTTTCGGAAACCCAAGACCGAGCTTTCCTCAATGGCTCTCGACAGGTTTGCGCCCATCGAACCCTTGCTTGCCCGGGGGACACGACAAAACCCCTTCCAGGGGGTCTAGCAACGAAACCCCGAGTTGAAAAGTCTCCAGTTTCACGGGTGTCTTGAAATTTGTTTTTCTGGCGTTCGAAGGGGACCCGCGGCTGAGCTGTTCAAACCCAATGCGCCATCCAATTTCCCCAGCCCTTGACCCAATCCCCCGTTTCCGCCAAATACGGCCTTTGTTGAGGCCTAAGTAGGTGATCTTATTCAAGACGGGTGCTAGGGGTGGAGAGTCACCAAAAGGACAACCAACTGGTGGGGGCTGTTTTGACGTGTCCGACAACTAAACCCTTTTTTTGGTGGGGGCTATTTTGATGTGTCCCTCTTGGGATGGTTTTACCCGCGGAGTGCTCCTGGAACTGCTCGATCCGCTTCTTCCGGTAATTCTCCAGACGCTCCCATCGCAGCTTGCCGTCCACGGCCTGCGCTGTCCAAAAACTTGGTCCCCAAAGCGTCACGTGTGGCTCTGGGTTCCCCAATGCAAATCTCTTGGGAAATTACATCTCAAAATCACTGTGTTTGACAAGAACCGGATCTCTTCAAATGGTTCTGCTGAAACCATGTTTGAGCCCCTAAAGAGACTGTCACAACCCAAGACCAGGTCGTTTGAGGGAAAACAAACCTTAAGCCCCTTCCGTCTGCTTTGGTCCCGGTCCGGTGGATTCCTCTGGCAAAATTGTGCAAGCCGACCATATCCCATCTGATAAAGTGCAGGGGGCTTCCCATTGAAATCTTTTCAGGGCATCCACCGGACAAAACCTTGAAAAAATCCGCCAAGCCCATGAGCGTTTCATGCCAAAGTGTCCGGTTCCACCCTCCTCCTCTTTCCTTTGGGCTCAAGCAGCGGTTGCTTTCTGCTCCCCTGCTAAAAGTTTAACCTTTATTTAGTGGTTTAATGGAAAACCCAGTAGTTGGCAAAAAGGTAAAGTCCTAACATCCCTTGGCAAAATGCACCACCAAAGTTGAGAAGCCCAAGTGCTGGGTTCCACCCTGTTCCTTTTTCCTCTGGGGTCAAGTAGCTGGGTTTCCCTTGAGATTTGCCCCTGGGTCCGAACTTTACACCTCTCCTGGTCCATGTCCTCGGCGAGGCGCTTCTGACTTTGGAGCAGCAGCTCCTCCCACGAGTGCCATCCGTCGCCAAGCGTTCGGTCTCCCATACTCTCTCACGCTCAGCTTGGAAAGGGAGTATGTTTTTTCAAGCTGTGCATTAATAAACAGATTGCAAGTTGAACAACCCTTCCATGAATGAAGATAAAATTTGGGGGTGGTTTATACACATCCAGTGAGTCTCATGCAGCCACAAAATGGTAGGTCACCAGTCATTTTGGAAGTGACACGCTACATTTCATATTACATTACTACCATTACATTATTATTATTAGAGAGATGAGATCGTATCGTACAGATCGTGATTTCGCGATCGCATTCGTATCAGACTGTGATCGCATGAGATGTATCGTGATCGTGATGAGATCGTGACAGATGTGATCGTGATGAGATCAGATGATGTGATGCAGATGCTGCAGATGAGATGACGTGATGATACGCATTTCGTGATGTGACAGATCAGATGATAAGATGCGATGATGTGATGTGATGTGATGTGATCAGATAGATAAGATAAGATAAGAGGTGATGCGATCAGATGAGATCAGATGTGATAGATGTGATGTGATAGATAAGATCAGATAGATGTGATGCAGATAGATAAGATGTGATGCGATGCGATGCGATCGATGACAGATGCGATGCGATAAGATGCGATATGATGCTGAGATGCGATGCGATAAGATGATGTGATGCGATGCGATAGATCAGATGATGCGATGCGATGCGACGCGATGCGATGCGATGCGACAGATGTGACAGATGAGATAAGATGATGCGATACGCCGGGATGCGATGATGATGATTTTCCACGCAGATGCGATGACGCACGCACGCACGCACGCACGCACGCACGCACTCCACGCACGCACGCACGCACGCACGCACTCCACGCACGCACGCACGCACGCACGCACGCACGCACGCACGCACGCACGCACGCACGCACGCACGCACGCACGCACGCACGCACGCACGCACGCACGCACCACATTGGTGTTCCTCCACGTCGCAGGTGTCTTTACAACACAAACAGGCCTCCCCCCTTGCAAGGACAACTTACATGTGGATGTTGCAACAACTGTGGCTTAAACATGCACTATACAGGTTGTTGGCCCCACCCCCCGTGAAATCTTTCATGCACGCACAAGCGTACCAAAAACACAGCCTAAAAACAAAAGAACAAATGACCCTGGGAAAACAAAAGCAAACCAGCAAACAAGCAAAGCAACCGTGCAAACAACACATACCCCCAAAATATGGCCCAACATAAAACATGACACAAAAAGGCTTCCCCATCCTCAAAGTTGCCCTCAAACGGTAAGGAGGACCTCAGCACCGCCCCAAACAAATTGTAGTCAGAGGCATAGGTGTCCTTTTAGGGGAAACAGATGGATTTCCCTGGTATGATGATGAAACCACCTGGTAAACCAAAAGCAACCAAAAAAGAAAACAAAACAACCAAAAAACAAACCAAAAACAACCAAAAAGGACATGGTCAAGGGCATCTCCTGGTCCAGGGCGATCCGCTTCTGGTCCCGCACCTGCTGCGCCAGCAGCTCCTCCTGGGCAGGTTTCTGAGGTCTGAGTGGTTGTTCTTTTCCTTGGGTGGGGGGGGTTGGGGGTTTGGGGTTGGGGAGCTTGGAGCCAAGGGCGCAGACATGTCGCATGTATGTTTTTTTTTGTTTTGCCGGGCGGGGGGGGAGGCGGCGAATCTGAGGGCGTTGGTTTGAATGTGGGAACCGAAGGGAATTTGGGAAGCATCCTTTGAACCCGCAGAAAGGAGCATGGGACAATCGGTGGTTCGCAATAGAGGCATCCCTAGTGGAGGTACAGCTTGAAAAATAGTTGCCTTCTTTCGTCGCTTGCGTTGCAGTCGTTTAAAGCGCAACTCGCTCAAAGCCCATCGCAACAAGAGGCACGATTCTTTGTTGGCGAATGCTGAAGGAAACCCGCTGCATCAAAATCGAACGGCACAAAACGGCTTCTCCGCTTCGTTTGTTGCTTGGTCTTGAAAGTGAGGTTCGGGGGACACCTGGTTGGTCCAACTGCCTGCAAAAATTGGCGCACTGCGGCGGCACGAAGAAGGCAGTTCCGAGATTCAAATACTTTTCCCCCAGTCAAACCAAACAGCCAACAACCTTAAAACCAAAAGCGGCCTCCTCACCCTCAAAGTCTTTTCGCCACTGGTTCTGCCCCCTTTCTGAAAGCCCCTCCTTCATCATCCCAGGGGTGCGGAGATTCGTCAACTTGTCCTGGCCCTCTGCCAGGATCTGGCTGTCCTTGGCCAGCTGCATCTGGTCCTCCGGTCGGAATTCAGGGAGCTGCCCCGCTGGATTCTGGACCCCGGGTTAAGTAAACCCGTCCCATCAGCAGCGTGAGGGTGGTCCCTCCAAGAGTGATGAAGCTTCACCCAACAGGGCACAACAACCAACAAATCAACCAGGAGTTTATACATTCTAGGGTTTGTTTTTGGGGGTATTGGGGTCAATATTAGTATTGGGGTCAATATTAGAATTGGGGAAAAGGAGGGGAAGGGGGGGGGGGGGGCGCCACTTTTGGCGCCTTGGGATTCAAAAGGACACGTAAAGGAGGTCTAGCCTTGAGTCTGCGCATCAATCCAAAGGCGAGCCAAAAACACCAATTTTCGGAGGCCCAAGCTTCCAGCTGAAGCAGCTCACAAAGGAAGCCAGAGAGCTGTTGGCAGCTCAGATTCTATGCAGGCCCCGCCCTCTTTGGAAAGAAGATTCTTAGACAAACCTCGCGCTTACGGCTGTGGATCGGGTTGGCTCCTCCGGGCCCTTCAGTGTGGAACGTGACCTTTTTCTTGCTTGGGGTTCTGTATGGCTACCTTGTCACTTTAAATGAGGTTCCCGTCGTATCGCCGAAATGCTGCCCAAAGACCAACGTGTTCCCGCAACCATGGTACCCTTCAGATACCCCTTCACAACCCTGTTGTAACCACTGTCGCTTCAACATCTTAGTGGGAGTTTCCCGAAATGAGGAACCGCGTGTGGTTTGTTGTTCTTTGCTTTTCTGGGGTGGGGGGGGGAAGCGTCCAGAAACCCCCACGTTTGGACACACCCTGGTTCCCTCGCGGCGGTCCTGTGCCACTTGGATCTGATCCTTGGCAATCTTCTGCCGCCGCCACTGGTCCTGCGTAGTGGCCACCGCCACCGGGATCCTCAGCGCGATCTGTTGCCCCCGTGGGTGTCGAGAGAAATCCGCGAACGCAATGGGAACGCAGCCAAACAAAAGGGGGCGGTCACCCATTTTCGAGGCCCCTTAGCACCCCCCTGCATGACTTTAAGCGTGAAGTCAGACCATCCGGGCCGGTGAACGCTGGAAAAGGCCGAAGTGCATTCAGCGATCCTCCCCTGCAACTTGACATAGAACCCGCCAAGGGGGTCCACGACAAGGAGCTTCCTCTGGAAATGCTGATGTTTCAGGCTCCAGGTCGAATCTGCAGAGGCTCGAGACCCCTAGAAACATATCAAAGCATTGGCCCGGTTCAAAGATGATCTCCGAGCATCTCATCTTCGGGTGTGGTGGGCTCGAAGTAGTCCGGAGCCACGATGCGGCTTTGAGCGAAATACTCGTGATGCCCGTGGTCTTCCTCGCCTGGGTTGGGCCCAGTTCACCCTACGTATTGCTTGGGCTTAGTCGACTCGATTGCTCTGTGGGTGCCGTGAAGAAATATTGGTTCGGATGACTTCTTGGACCTCGAAACATGGCCCATGGAAAAAGGAAACGCTTGAAAGCCTTTGAAGGGGCGGATGGTTGAAGGACAGTTTGCCCCCCGCCTTCCTCCTTCTCGGGCTCCTCCTCATGCGTCCCCTTGGGCTCCTCCTCGTCCGCTTCCGTGTCCTTCCCCTCCTCCTGTGGCAAATTGCTGGCCCTTGCTGCCCGCAAAGCAGCTTTTCCCTTCCTCTCACTCACATGGTTGAACAAAGCACTATTGCATACTACATGACCCATACTATGTATACATTTATGCTGTATTGATATGTGAATACATGTAGCCTCACAAAAGGCTATTCGCTTCCCGATCAACACGCCCCCAACTTCAGTACTACAAACGAAACGGGCTTAGCCCTTAGGGTGATGACAGGGCGGAAAATGGAAGAAGCACGAAATAATCTGCCTCCTGTCCACTTCCATGACTGTAACAGGTAGCACCTTGGTGCGGTAGCCTTGGGAAAAGTATGCATCCGTTCACCACTTCCAAACCTAAACAATGGATGAGGACCGTGATTCATGTGTGTTCACTCGTTTCAGACACGTCTCGGTGAGCTCGCCGTAAAAACCGCAGAAGCATCCATAAAAAAAATAATGGAGAAACCCTTCGCCCAGCAAGCTCCTCTATCTCATCACTGCCCCGGGACTTCATCTGCTTGGCATCCTGGCGCAGCTCTTTGACATCCTCTTGCAAACTCTCCTCCTCCTTGGCGTACTGGTTCACCCTCCTCTTCTCCTGGGCTCAGTGACACAAAGTAAGCCATGGTGCACACTCTGTAGCTTGGGACGTCTTTGGAACTGCCCGAGAAAGTGGGCAGTTGAGGTTACCCTCTTTTTGGTTTCAAAAGCCCAAGCCCCAATCTCATACAGGGGATTTCCCCTTAAGGTCATTGTACTCTAGGGGTGCCCCCCAAATGGCCTCCCCTAAGGCTTGTCTCATGCTCTGGCCAGCTTTGGCCTGGGTCTACCCTTCAGGACAGGTTTTGCAGAGCGCTCCCTGTTTTTCGTAGGGGACCACGTAGGGCCGGTAAAATCATTGGTCTGCGATCACCTTTTTCAGGGGGCCGATCTCTTTCCATCGGGAACCGCTGATACTCACACACATGGCTTGTCTATTGGACCCATATTGGACGAGCTTTTCCTGTTCTATCCATTCACCGCGCTTCGGTGATTCCGGCATGGGGTACTGTTGGGGAACACCGGATGTTCTTCGACGCCACTATTCATCGACTGCGCCTATTCCCCAGAAACCTCAAAATCGGGTTGCTTGCTCCCAGCCAAAGTACCCACCGAGGTTAGAATAAGGGTACCCCTTTCTTCTGTCGCCTATTTTCGTAGGGGAACCCTCCCCCGAAAAATGGGTGAGAAAGGGCACCTGGCTGGGGGACCTAGTTGCTGTGACTCCCCATGGTCCTTCTTCAGGTCTGCCTTCAGCTCCTCCTCCCTCTTCTCCATGCGCTTGGCCTTGGAGGTGTCCATCTGCTGCATCTTTTCCATGCCCTCTGGCGCCTCGTCGCCGAAGATCTTCTCGTCCTACAGTCAACATGTCTCCAAATGGGGGACCCCGAAGCCCAGAATGGTTTCCTCCCCAAGCGATAGCTTTCCGTTTGGTTTTCCTGTAAAGCGATCCACTCTTACAAAAAATGCCCTCCAAAAAGCACAGGGAAAATGAGTGAGGGAGTTTTCGAGCTGTTGTTTTGCGGGAGATTCAGCGAGTCCCCCCATGTCCTCCCAAATGAACCGAGGACTACGGGTAGCTTGACCGAACCTCTCATAGCGCTGGGGCTGGACACCGCTATTGCGCAATCAAAATCAGGCCCTAAATGACTGTGGCAGGCGGCAGGTTCAAGGAAAGAATGCTTATGCGATTTCCCTATGTGCTGTGCAATTGGTACATATAGGGAACCCCGGTCTCCCTAAGGCTTTTGATTCCTGTCTTTTGAGCCTCCTGGAGATCAAGAACATCTGTCGTTGATGGGTCTTTGTGCGTTTCCGTCACAGCTACCAATCGAGGGGAGCCGCTAGCCCAAAAGATGGAGAGCCCTCGGCTCACACAACTTGTTTTGGAATCACCCCCTTCCCCGCCCCCCCTTCCGTCGCCCGCCAACGAGGGAGCTGTCCCTATGCTCTCTCAGCTTTCGGCCGCTGCCTTGGGGTCTCTCCCCGCTGGCCGTCCACCCAGCATCTTGTCGGTGGCATCCATGTCATCGTAGCCTCAACCAAACCGCTTGCTGATGGGTGAATTTTGCCCAAGGGAGCGCTGGATGCCCTGCACTAGCTCGCAAGAATTTGCAGGCAGAACGCAAGTTGTGCCTATCTTGGGATATAGAACCTGCAAACGGAACTTGAGCGGAAAACTTCCATAGAGAACTTGCATAGAGATCTTGCACAAAGAGCAGTGGACCGAAAGCACAGCGTCCAGGCTCCAGGCGGAGAAGGCAATGCTCGAAGCCGCCATTTGTGGACCAGCTCAACAATCTAGGTGTTGAGTAAAAGCGCATTGAACACAGCCACTGCTCGGAAGTCGCAACTCCGAAGTACAAAAGGAATACTCAAAGTACGGCGTACAGTGCACTCGAGGTTTCACAGCTTTGGTTCCAAAATCGCACTTGCGAAGTACTTTGGTGGCTTTTGGCTCGAAGATACACAAAACAGCGCGTGCGCAGAGCAAAGTTGCTCAAACCGTACGACAGTGTTCCATGCCTCTCGGGTGTCACAAAGAAACCAAAAAAACAAGGGGAAGAAAAAAAGAAGAACAAAAAGGGGGGGGGGGGGGGGAAACACGAAAAAAGAAAAAGAAGAAAAAACAACAAGTCGAAGCCTACAGAGAAGCGATCTTCGCAAATCGCCTGGAGCTCATGGAAGCGATCTTCGCGCTGCCATTAGAGAGCGCAGCCCCCCCAAAAAATAAGGAACTAAAAACGCCCCCCGTTCCGAAGCTTCTTTGGAGGGCGGCCAGGGCTCCGAAGAACCGCCCAATACTAAACCCCCAGTTTATATAAGAGAGCAGGTGTCGGCGGCGATGTGATGTGTGATGTAATGTGTGATGTGTGGTAAAACACGGTATTTGACACTGTTCTTACGGGTGTGGAAGTGCTGGGATCTTCTGTTTATTCTTTGGCGGGGTTTAGTGGGGATTCAGACCACTTCTGGAGGGGAACACCTATTAAGGACCTGGGGTTGATTTGTGTGGGGGTCGACCTTAGGTCTCAGAGCCGAAAGCCCAAAACCAGCAGGAACCGGGCACCGAAAACTTTGCCACCTGCGCCCGAGGCGCTGGTGGGGCATCGCGCCCACGCCGTGTGGGCCCGGAGCGGCGGATTGGCGGGAAGGCCAAAATGGGGCGCCGCAGACCAGTCGGCAAAACGCGCCATGGTGAACGCACATCACCAAGCACTTCTTCTATCATGACTTCTGGTTTCAAAGTATCCTACTACTCCATAAGGCGCTCATGGTTGACAGGGTGCTAAGCAGTTGGTGAAGCTGATGCAGCTTCGGTCTTAAAGCTATGCTCTGTGGTCTAACGGTGATCTGATGCTGGTCGGGTCTTTTCTTCATGACTCGGGCCACATGAGCTGCAACGACAGGCTCCCCCATCCCCAAGCACAAGACTCACCGGATTTGTCTTCGAAGGGCAATCTGTGGATTCATCGGGACGACCAAATTCATCCAGGAAATTCCCCCTATGTGGTTCAATTCGCGGCTAAGCGGGGGACGAGCCCTGCAAATACCTCCCTGCAGCTCCAGGTACCCTCCTTGAAGGCCAAATTTGGGCACCCCCAGCTCCTTGGCTCCCTGCCCACCACCAGCCACGATACAACGTCTGATTTACTACGCCGCGCCTCGTTGCTGAGGCTGGTGTCTGCACCTTTGTCGCTTCGCGCACGGCAACAAAGCGGAAACCGGCCCAGGATCATAGCAGGGGCCCCCGTCCTCCCTTACCCGGCTTGATTGTGGCTCAGATGGCGGCGTGGTTCTCATCCCCACGCAGGATACAAACAAGCGGGTCGCTTCCGGAAACGGGAAGCTTCAAAACGCCCTGCGCAACTCCAAGACAGGTTTCCTGCGTCTGGGACGCCACGCCATGAGCGACCAGCAGTTGGGCCACAAGCTCGTTCTCGGACATGACCTCACCACGCGAGGGATAAAACTTGCCAAAAAAGGCCATAAGTCCCAAACAAAACATGGCAAAAAGGGAAAACATGTTTGCACCCAAAGAAGAAGCAATGGGTGGAAGGCCGCACAACTTGGACGTTTTCGTCGAAGCCTTGCTCACTCCTGGCGCGCAATTCCTTCACTCGCCGAGGGCACGGCCGCGTAGTGTAGCCTAGGCCACTCACTGGCAAAGAAAGCGAGTAGCCCCGAACCTTTCTGGGCCGTGTTGTTGGCCTGGGAGAAGATACACCATGTGACGGTTTTAAAAGGGCAAGGGTTTCTAGTAGGCCTTGTGAGAAGCCCTGGGCCCTTGGATCTGGGCTGCTCACGCCGTGTCACCAGAAGGGTCCTGCGCGTTGATGACAGCAACCGCCTCCGGAATGTCCTTAGCAGGCAAACAAGCAACAGGTCACCGCCAAGCCAACCAATGCACCAAATGAGAAGAATACTTGAACACTACCGAATACAGAAGTTGCACCAAAAGGTGCTCCCGTGAGCGCTCGATAATTCGATAGATGGGCATTTCACACAATCCTTGACTAGAAGGAATTGAAACCGTTCACCTCGAAAAGTTTCTTGATCCGGGTTTTAATCATTTGGTCTCGCCTTGGAATCCCTCTGAAATCTAGCCCGAGACGGCGCCCTAGTTTGGACAACCGCAAGAGGGGGGGGGGCAGAGGAGGCAGCTGCCTAAAGAAACCTGAGCGGTCACGCCTATCAAGCTGTGCACCTCCGAATGCCGACAAGCGAGGAACACAGCTTCAAGCCGCAACTCTCTAAGAGACCCAAGGATCCCCGCCATGAGAAATTGCACCTCAGCTTGAAGCTGAATGGCCATGCCCATCCCCCCCTTTCCTGGTCTCCTCCGGCTGGTTGAGGTCTTATTTGGGTGTTTGGGGAGGGGGAGGAGGGGCAGGGGTTGGAACCTATCACAGAAACATCCATGAGAGCGGCGCCATCTCCATCTCTCCTCTGTCTGCCGCCCAGTGTAGCGGTAGCATTCCATCTTTGTCGGCCTGCGCCACCCAAGCAAAGGGCCGCCGCCATTCGTGCCAAGACAAACAGCCGTCTGCCTAAACGACACCGCCTGGTGAAAAGCAACTAATTCTGGACAAAGTTGCCATGGTTGACAAACTTGAAACATTGAACCCCTTAGCGAATTGATCCTGGGCCCGACATGCGATTCCATATCGCTTTTGGAGGCAGTTGCTGCACCCCCGTCGGTATCTAAAGCCCTCACTCCGGAAGCGTCACTAGAGGCGTGGAAGCTGTACTCATTCCAATTGCGTGACGGGTATACCGCCTTAGTAGGACAACACACCTTGCACAGGGCGCACATAAGCCACGCACCTCAAAATCCCTCACTCGAAAACGCTCTCAACTACACACATGCGCGAATCGATCTCAACTTCGCTCGAATCCGCCTGCGTTGCCAGCCGCGCGTTCTTGCGCAGCAAAGCGCACGCCTCCTGCGATTTCTCCACGGGGGACCGCCATGCCGCGGACAAATCGGAGGCCACTTTCGAGCCCAAGCCCTAAGCACCCAGAAAACGAAAGAAGGAGATCGCAAGATAGACCTTAAGTGTCCACCACATGGCACTCACCCAACAAAAAAACAACTACGATTTCATTGAAGGCCTACTCGGATGCCCATCCCTGGGTCCAAAGCCCTTGATCTTGGTTCCAGCCCTGGCCACGCGAGGGCCTTTAAAGCCGGCCGACCATAGACTTTGCGCCAAAGATCTGAAGGAAGGCTTTTCGCACTGCCTGGGACTTTTGAATTCCGCCCCCTGAAAAGTCGCGACCATGAAACATGATTGCCCTTTCACTTTCGATAGAGGGCTTCCCTTGGCATCACAGACAGACATGTCCCACATGACCCCTCAGTTCTCCTCGAAGTCCCCATTGGCGATCTTCTCACACAGCTGCCCAGCCGGAGTTTCATCCTGGGCGCAAGATGTGACAAGTTCGTCACACCCCGAGCGGCCTGCAGGGGACCACCCCGCAAAAAAAATAAAACCCATGTGTGATTTCACGGGGCAGGCTTTGCTTTCAAAAAGGGGCTTTGGGGACCTGAGGGAAACAACGGCAGGTTTTTGGCAACCCAAAAGCAATCAAACGAATGACCTTGGCAACAGGGGGCCAAACGACGGGATCGGTCTGTCAATCCCCCGTCCGAGCTTCCAGCCGTATCATTCGGATTCCCAGCGCCTGGGTGGCACTACTGCCCCCCCCCCTCAGCATTTGCATCATGTTGCATTCTGCACGCACAAGTTGTCCTTTTGAAGCGGACCGCACATCCCCAAAATGAAACCCTTCACCCGAATGCATATTTATGTCGAGTTTCGTCTTCGTCACTCCAAATATGGCACGGCTTTCACAAGCTCAGAACAAGAGAGATGGAGAGAGAGAGAGAGAGAGAGAGAGAGAGAGAGAGAGAGAGAGAGAGAGAGAGAGAGAGAGAGAGAGAGAGAGAGAGAGAGAGAGAGAGAGAGAGAGAGAGAGAGAGAGAGAGAGAGAGAGAGAGAGAGAGAGAGAGAGAGAGAGAGAGAGAGAGAGAGAGAGAGAGAGAGAGAGAGGCGAGAGAGAGAGAGAGAGGCGAGAGAGAGAGAGAGAAGAGAGAAGAGAGAAGAGAGAGGCGAGAGAGAGAGAGAGAGGGAGAAAGAAGAGAGAGGCGAGAGATAGAGAGAGAGAGAGAGAGGGAGGGAGGGAGGGAGGGAGAGAGAGAGAGAGAGAGAGAGGGAGAGAGAGGGAGAGAGAGCGAGAGAGAGCGAGAGAGAGGGAGAGAGAGGGAGAGAGAGGGAGAGAGAGGGAGAGAGAGAGGGAGCGAGAGAGAAGGAGAGAGAGGGAGAGAGAGGGAGAGAGAGAGAGGGAGAGAGAGGGAGAGAGAGCGAGAGAGAGGGAGAGAGAGGGAGAGAAAGGGAGAGAGAGGGAGAGAGGGAGAGAGGTTGGGGGCATACCCTCTTTCCATTAGTGAAGCTATAAACGGTTTCCCCGGGTGGCCCCCTCCCCTGGACTTTATACAGCAACGACCCAAATGGGACCCCCGGCCGATGCAGCCCATGGTGCTCACGGTCGGCCCCATAGAACTTGGCTGGCGTGGCTGACTTGGGCGCCCTTGCTCCATACGTTTCCCTTCTACCCTTCTACCGGTTTTGGCGTCTGCTTCCGCAGATCTTGCGTGAACAGCTCCACCGCTCCTTTCGCGACACCTTCTTCGTGGCTCCACGAGTGTGCGGTGCGCGTGTTCGAAAACGTCATCTTCTCCACCCACCCCACGAAAAAAATAAAAACAATAATAATGAAAGAATAATGATGACTTGTTTCATGCCCTGGGCCCTAGGCTAACCACCCAACAAACGCATCACGGCCTTCCCCCCCAAAAAAACGCATGATGCAGGGGGGGAAAAAAACAAGGTAGCCTCCCTATAAGGAATGCCAGCCCCCTGAGACTGCAGCACCCCGTCGGGTTTGCCTCCCTCCTCCTCCTCCTCTAGCACTTCTCCTCGGTACAGCGACAAGTTGCCCACATGGCCGCAAAAGGGGCCACCAATCGCTCCATAGTTGCCAAAATCCTCCTTCCTGAGCCCGGCAACAGGCGAATCCTTTTGAGACCTCCAGTGACCAAATCTGCTAGGAGGCGCGTTCGTTTTCTGCGGAGCTTCCTTATTGAAGGCCCTGCACTTGTTTGCCTGACGGCTGTTTTTGTCCATGCTCGAACTGTGCATGATGCATGATTTACAGAGAAACCACAAGTATTTTTGAGAACCCCTGACTAACTGGGAATCATGCATGATGCAAAGGGAACCCCCGCAAGTGATTTTGAGAACCCCCCAAATGTTCCTTGTAAGTGACCCAGGCAGGCGGCACAACGGGGTCGTGGACTTCCCTCGGCGAACCCCTGAGGAAAAGCAAGGAAACTGAAAGAGTCCGAAAAACACACCCCACTGTTTCCATTTGACTCCCTTCAAACCGGCTGTCCTCCAGACTGCCAGTTGGGCGCGTAGGTTTCCAGAACTCGCGCCTGGAAGGACGAACGTGGGAACATGGGATACTGGAACTTGGACCCATAAAACTGTTTTTGCAACTTCCCCGGCCAACAACGTCCAACAAGGACCCCCAATTAGGACCTCACCTCAAAAATAGGATCGGTTCCCTTCCACCTCCGCCAGCCATCCAAATCAAAGGAGCGCCTTCCGGTTTTGATCATGGCATCACCCTCCACCTTTCCTCCAACTTAGGCCTTCCGAAAGCCTTCATCTGGAAAAACCGGGTCAAGGGTTAAAAACGACGGTGGGATTCGTTTTCGCTTGTGTGACACCACGGCGGAAGTCTCAGCCGGCGGCATACGAGATCATGGCAACCTCTGCCGGGCAACCTGCGCTGACCCGCGCCAGGCGCGTGTAAAAAGGATCAGGGGTAGCAGACGCTCGCCTCTTGGCAGCGAGGAACCAAAGGCCAAAAAAGAACCAGAGGTTCCAAAGAAACCGCTCTAGTAAAAAGGCTTCGAACCCATCTGGGTAGGAAAGGGGTCTGAATTTCTCTCCTGATTTCGGCTGCCATGACTGAAAGCAGACCAACACCGAAAAACCTTAGACCCTGCCCCTCTGGAAGATGGGATTTCAGATCACCAATGAGATTGACCTGTCCAACCATGGAAATCTGCGAGTCTAGAAAACAGTTTGGATGCACTTTTTGTGGAATTTACCCGGTCTTGTCAACTTTTGATATCCTAGCGGGGTGGACCCACAAAAGCCACATCCAAACCGTTGTCTAGATAGTGTGTGGTGGCGGGGCCATGCAGGGCCCAAGGACTACCAAGAAGTTAACAGACTCATGGGGTGGCGAAACGCTGTCGCGTGCCTCTGACTTGGCTCCAG